TGGAGATCAGGGAGTGGTGACCATGTGGAAGGCGTGTAACCAAGAAGGAGAGAGGAAGTTGTTGGGAAGTTCTTCAGGTCCAGCCCAGCGAGTTGTGCCCAAGGATGCATGTACGGCTGAGAAAAATGCTGCTGTGGTCTGACTGTTAATGTCACCCCAAAATTCATAAACTGAAACCTAATCCTCAAGGTGATGATTTTAGGAGGTGGGGCCTTTGGGAGGTGATCAGGTCATGAGGGCAAGAGCCCTCAGGAATGGGATCAGTGCCTTTATAAAAGAAGCCCCAAAGAGTTGCTGTGCCCCTTCCACCAGGTGAGGACACAGCATAAAGGTACCATCTGTGAATCAAAACTCGGGTCCTCACCAGACACCAAACCTGCCAGTACCTGGATAAGTTTGAACAAACTAAGACAAATGCATTTCACAAAATTTCAGCATTGTGATTCACAGAGATCTCAATGGGAATAGAATGTTCTGGAGCTGCACAGGACACAGTTTGCACATCACCATGAGGAGGCGCTCTCTACAACTCGTCCTGGATGTTTGTCACAGATTTTTTAGCCTAGGCATGACCTCCTGTAAGAGTTAAGACAGATGTACGTCAACACCTGAGGTAGATACCATCCTTAAAATTATATAGTAGCCTTACGAGTCATTTCTCAAAAACAATTTATTTGATCCACAGACACAGCATTTAGCTTAGGGCTTCAACTTAGCAGGTACTCACTGTATGTTTGCTTAATGAATGAACTAATGAGCAATGAAGTGAATGAAGAAGTAGTTAAATACATTTCAGGACAGAGTGTTCTAGATAACATGCACTTTAGGCTACTGACTTGAGGCAACTGGATTTGACTGTCCTACTGCAGAGCAGACTTTTAAAAATGTATCTTCTTGTAATTATATAATCTTTACTGCAAAAATGTGTAAGGCACTTGGTATAAATTATCTAATTTATCCTGCACTGCAATAGCTTCATGAATTTGACCAACAAACCCAGCATTTAGCCATGAGTTTGGCCTTTAAAAATGGACAGGACAATGACCACAGTAAAATTTCAACAGAAGTAATAAATTCACTATCAGTCTTGTATAGCATCAGTCTCAGTTTATTCTTTTGTTCTCTTCAGGATATAGGGTTCTCTCTTCCTTTGGAAGCCCAGAGGTATTTACTCCATATGACTGCCAGCATGATCTTTCAAAATCCCCAGTACAATCACGTCACTTCCCAATTCGAAAGCAGGTTTTTATTACACATCTCTACTTCAAAGACCACAGTCTCTACCTGTGGCTATCAGCCCCTTCCCAATTTAATCCCAATGCACTTTGCCAGCCCCATGCATGACCAGTACTCCCAAGCTGCCAATACTAGGGCATGGTGAGATACTAGAAATTTCAGAGCAATCCACTTCTTTGCTTTTGCACATTCCTTCTCTCTGCCTGAAATGCCAACAACAATCTCTTATTCATTTTATTTTATGACTCATAGGACTATTTCGAGGACCACGAAGAAAGGAAATACATTGTTAAAATCATATCTTCACATCCAGTGTCTGGCACATAGTAGGTTTCAATAAATAAATAATAAATAATGGATTAATATGAGGTTTTTAAAAAATCACATTTTTCTGGGAAAATTCCCTGAAATCCAGAAAAAGTTGTTCCCTCTATGCTCCCTTGAGGTCTTGATATTCTAATTGTCACATTGTTATAGAATGAAATTATTTGTTTCCTGGTCTTTCTCTGGGACTACACTCTGAGCTCTTGTGTGGCAGAGACCAAATCTTACTCATACTTGGATCCTTAACACCCAGCACAGGGCCTGGCTTATAGTAAGCCTTCATAGATTTCCTGGAATTGAAAATATAATTCTAGAGCAATCACACATGAGGTGAGCAGGGCAGGTGTTAGGCTTCTCATGTTACAGATGAAGAAATAGGGACCCAGGGAAGAAAGAAAAATATGTGTTGACTCAATTCCTATTTGGAATCTAAGGACCAGCCAGGACTGGACCACAGGTCTCCTAAGCCCTCATTACTACAACGCTGTGTTGGTGGCCACTGAAGGGAGGAGTCTATCATGTTACAGATGAAGAAATAGGGACCCAGGGAAGAAAGAAAAATATGTGTTGACTCAATTTCCATTTGGAATCTGAGGACCAGCCAGGACTGGACCACAGGTCTCCTAAGCCCTCATTACTACAACGCTGTGTTGGTGGCCACTGAAGGGAGGAGTCCTGGCACCTTTTCCTCTGACCCATTAGCAGAGGGACGCTGCTTAATCAGTGCTCATGGTGACAGCCTAGGAGAATAGACCCATTCCCCTGGGATAAAGGACTGAGTCCTGGGCAGCTTTGCGAGCAGTAGGATGGTGAATGTGCCAGGACACACGGGCCATTTGTTTACCTTCTGTCCAAATCCTGTGGGGCTGCCTGGCCCACTGTGGAGTCAGTGTCTCTCTCCATCTCTGGCCAACTTCCCGGGAACTCCTGGTCTCTACAGGAACTCCGTTGTCCCAGGCAGATAGAATTATAAATAGTTATCTTTCTTTACTCAGAAGCATTCTACTGTGAGCAGTAAATAATACAGTCCTGTCCCTCCTTAACGAATATGCTGCATGCATGTGAAAGCTCCAAGAGCTCCAAGAGTGGTCTCGACTCCCCATTCCCCGTCACTTGGCCTTCTCCTCCCCACCCCCGTTTGTCCCCCCACTAGATTGCTGCTCATCTACAGTAGGTCAAGAACTGGATTTCGAGTCCTCTGCCTGAATTGAAGCTCCTTTCCTCCTGGGTTTCTGCCCAAGCCAGTGGTCTGCAACCTCTTGAGGAAGTCAAGAATAATTCGAGGGTGAAACTGCAGATATCCCCTGACCCTCTACCTTAAATGTACTTGTGGCCCAAGCACTGGGGGTTAACAAAAGAGGACTTGGGAAGCTCAGCACCTTGACTGGGAGCCAAGTGCGCTCCCTGGAGGTGTGGGTGCAAAGGTTTGCTTCAGTGGGCCCATCTCTGGCCAACTTCCCGGGAACTCCTGGTCTCTACAGGAACTCCGTTGTCCCAGGCAGACAGAATTATAAATAGTTATCTTTCTTTACTCAGAAGCATTCCACTGTGAGCAGTAAATAATATGGTCCTGTCCCTCCTTAACGAATATGCTGCATGCATGTGAAAGCTCCAAGAGCTCCAAGAGTGGTCTCGACTCCCCATTCCCGGTCACTTGGCCTTCTCCTCCCCACCCCCGTTTGTCCCCCCACTAGATTGCTGCTCATCTACAGTAGGTCAAGAACTGGATTTCGAGTCCTCTGCCTGAATTCAAGCTCCTTTCTTCCTGTGTTTCTGCCCAAGCCAGTGGTCTGCAACCTCTTGAGGAAGTCAAGAATAATTCGAGGGTGAAACTGCAGACGTCCCCTGACCCTCTACCTTAAATGTACTTGTGGCCCAAGCACTGGGGGTTAACAAAAGAGGACTTGGGAAGCTCAGCACCTTGGCTGGGAGCCAAGTGCGCTCCCTGGAGGTGTGGGTGCAAAGGTTTGCTTCAGTGGGCG